ATTCGAAATAGGCATCGTTTTTTATTTGTGTACTACTACAAAAGAAAGATTTCGATATATCGACCTCTATAAACTAGGTGACACGTTACTTGACTGTAAAACAAGGCTGTCTGTGGGGTCTAGACTCGTGGTGATATATTCCTCCTAGACACCCGCTTTCACACGTACATATGAATTAATTACACCAGTTGGATTTAATAAGAATCAGAAACTGGCTTAATTTTGACTGCTTAACTAAACACATTTAACTTCGTCTGCTTAACTAGTTAACTAGTTAATACCTGGGACTAGGCTCGGATAAAGAAGGAAAGTTGGGCATAGGACTAGCAACCCTACCCTGTAAAACCAATCCAACCGCTAAAGAAACTTCTAAGCACAAACTAATTATAAAAAATAAACACAAACTCTTTCCTCACTGGAGTCGGGGAGACAAAATGACGCCGGTTGGGGAAAGCATTCAGGAAGCCAATTGGCTGATGTGTCTTCTCCCGATGAAAGCAAAAGTAAACATGGGGACATGGAATGTCCACACCATGTCAGCACCAACCTAGCAAGGCTTCCCAGATAGTCAAGGAGATGAGCAGGTATGGCATGGAAGTGCTAGGCTAGGAATCTGCAAAAGTAGATGGAATGGAAGTGAACTCTCCAAACTGTCAACTGGAGAAGAGTCAATAATCTACTCCGTCCCACATATTGTCACCCAGACAACAACCACGACGACACTCACACTGAGTTCTCCAGTGGCTATCATGATGTCCCCTTCAACAGCATCGAAGGCTCACTCTCATACAGTGCGAACCAATCTCCTCCTGCAGGATTGGGATCATCACAGCAACATTCAAATCAAAAGGAAGGAAAGTCACAATCATATGATGCTACGCTATGCACCTACAAATAGTGCAGATGAAGATAAGAAGGAGGAAGAATTCTACAGACAACTGTAATCACTATTGGAAAAGACTCCATCTCAGTTGGCGACATCAAAATTCTAGTGGGTGGGGTGACATGAATGCCAAACTGGGAGCGGACAAGACAGGAAGAGAACCAATCATGGTTGAGAAGCACTCGGTGAAATGATGAACGAGGATGGAGAACTGTTTGCAAACTCCCGCGCATTTAATGATTTGGTGATTGGAGGTGAGGCAGTGTGTACAAACACAAGGATATTCACAAAGCGAGTGACATGGATTCGATTTCACCAGATGGACACACTAAACTAAAAACCAGATCGACTTCATCTCAATGTGAAGAAAGTGGAGACGCAGCCAGCCTACTACTGGACACAAGATCAGATCAAGATGGGGAGCAGATGTAGGTTCACACCACTCACTATCTAGTGCAAGCAACCCACCTTCAAAATCAAGTTGGAAGCCTTCACAGAAGTTGGTGATAGACGACCACAGTTGAAGTTCAACACGGAGAACAGAAACTGGAGGACGAAACTACAAGCGACATCTTCGCATCAGCCAGCCAGTCAGTCATCAGAACAGAATGGGCGACACTAAACAAGATTCCCGAGAAAGCCTGTTTGGAAGAACACTGGAACTCTTTGAAAGAGATGTGGAAGAAAACCTGCATAACCGTGTCAGGAAGGAAGAAGAAGAAGAGGCGAGACAAGGAATGAAATGGATCTCGACGGACACATGGAAACTGATAGAGAAGCGAGAGGAAGATGGTGAAGCAGAAGATGAACCAGTGCAGTGCAGTGCAGTGCAGTGCGGTGCAGGGATGAACAACGAAAAGAAGAACTGAGTACAACCTGTAAAACACTATACTGGACAAAGAAGAGTGTGTGCGGAAAGACAAAAAGACACTTCTACGACACACTTGCAAGTCAACCGGAACAGGATGCCGGCTGGTAGGAGAGACCTGACAACACCATATCAAATAACCAGGTTACTATCGATCTGGGAAGAGATCAACGCGGACGAAACCAATGAAAGATCGTGAAGGAAAGCGAGTTACCAAAGAGGAGGAACAAGAGAAACGACAAACTGATCACTTCCATAAACTCTTCAATCGACCACCAACACCACCTACAACTCGTCCAGAAATACCACCAGCAACCCAGTCACACAACTACAAGTGAACACAAGCCCTCCGACAAAAGCAGAAGTGAAGTCCTCAACGCCATAAAGTTGCTGAAATCCGGGAAAGCAGCACGACCAGATGGAATTCCTCCACATGCACTGAAAACAGACACAGAGACAACAGCGGACATGCTCACACCACTACTGCAAAGCATTTGGAAGGAAGGCAGGAAAGGTACCTGCCAATTGATTAGAAGAAGGGCTACCTTGTCAAAATCCCAAACAAGGGCGACCTAAGCCTTTGCAAGAACTGGCGAGGAATCATGGTACTGTCCACCCAATGCAAGCAAAATATTATGCCACATCATCTTAAAGAGACTAAACAATGCGCTGGATTCAAAATTACGATCGGAACAGGCTGGTTGGTTTCAGGAAGAACAAATCATGTGCAGATCAAACTGCAACGCAAAGCATCATCTTAGAACAGAGCAAAGAATGGCAGTCAACTCTCTCTCTACCTCGACTTTATCAACTTTGAAAAGGCCTTCGACAGCGTCGACCGAGAAGTAATTCGGCAGTTGCTTCAACACTACGGAGTGCCACAAATCTTAATCAACCTCATTCAACAGGTAAATGCTTTCTGATGCTACATGCCAAGTGATCCACAATGGAAAGCTCAGTGACGCCTTTGAAGTGAAGTGAAGACAGGAGTAAGACAAGGCTGCCGCCTACTATCACCCATAATCTTCCTCATTGTGGTCGACTCGACTGGATCATGCAGCAAACCGTGAGGAGCGAGAAGATGGGCATACGCTATTTGACCGATGCGAAGACCCTAGAAGATTTGGATTTCGCCGATGCTGATTTATGTTCAATGTCGCACAAAGTCGAAGATCTCAACAGGCGAAAAGTAGCAAGTTGACAGAAGAGGTAGGGCAGTGACAACGGGACTTCAAGTGAATGTAGAGAAGACGGAGATGATGAAGATACCCAACGAACAACAGCATGAACAACAAGCACCAAACACCATCAACAGAAGAAACCAAAAGAAAGTTATCTCTTTCACCTATCTAGGCAGCAGCATTGTTTCAACTACAGGCGGCGGCACAGACGAAGATGTCAAAACCAGGACCGGAAAGACAGTAAGACAGACTCTCACTAATCTGAAATCAGTGTGGAAATCTACTGCACTCAGCATAAAACGTGAACAACATCCGGATTTTCAACACCAACATCAAGTCAGTGATTCTATATGGTTCAGAAACTAGGCGTGTCACGAAAAGGCATTTCCAACAAACTACAGACATTCATCAACAGCTGCTGCCCACGCTAGCTCACTCGATATTGAAGATCAGATGGCCAGAAAGAATGAGCGACAAGGAACTCTGGCCTGGCAACGAACCAACCAAGAACCTATCACGCAACAAATATGCACTGGAAGGAAGTGGAGATGAATTGGGCATACACTGACAAAACCATTCGGAGACATCACGCGCCAGGTCCTCGAGTGGAATCCAAAGGGAGAATGGGGAGTTGGGCGTCCGAGGCGAGGATGGCATAGAGGAGGAGATCATGTGAGGAAGAAATGAAAGGTGATGGGCAGATGTGGAGCCAGATTCAAAAGACTGCAGAGAGGAGAGTGTAGTGGAGGCGTGTTACTGAAGCACTATGTTCCACTAGGAACCCAAGAGAGAAATAATAATAATCATAACAACCGAATATATTGCTCCATTAAACAGCGGGGTCAGCTTCGTAATGGGATAATTCGTGCGACTTCGTCACATTTGAATCCCAATCAGAGGACAGCTAGTTTCTTTTCCAGTGCTCTATTCCCACTCCTGTCTTCTAACTTTTGCGGTACTTCTAATCAAACCGCATCAGATACCCATATGTTAGGATTGACATTAATCAGAGAACCATTGGAAACACGGGAGCACTGGGCAGCTGTTTATCTCAGTATGGGACTCCTCAGTAATGGACACCTAAGACTCGCCAAGATGGAATCCAGGACATTCAGATCTCAAGGCGAGTGTTGCCATTCAGTCATATATTGTCACTAAAAAACTGTTGAATCAGATCGAATCCTGCTTAGCCTTTTTTCCTAATAAAGGTTTTCAGTTCTCTGATATAGCATTCTTTTTACGCCCCTCATGAAGTTTACCTGATAAAAGTTGTTGTAGTTTAGGTAGTGGCCGCTGTAAATGCTTTCATGATGTAAACTCCTGCCTACTATGTTATTCTCTTTATATTTGATGCATACATTAAAATAATTCAGCTGGTTTTGCACTTCACGTTTTTGTAAACTACTCAAATAGTAGGGTGGGTAGTGATGAATACAATGCTTCTTTAGATGTATGGAGTCCCTAAAAGTTTCTAACTAACACGAGATCCGAGCTCCTGACACAATGACTAAAAGTTACCCACTTAGTACACTGACAGAAGATGGTAAGATAAACAAACGAAGTGTATTCTTTTCATCAAGACAAGTGAGAAACTGGTACTGTATAGTTGGATACAATCATAAAAATAATAATGCGACTCAACCCAGCACTAGGGTATGAGCCACACTGTTGTATGAGGGTTTATAATACTACTCAGTAGCTCCGGCGGAAGTAAAACAATCAGGAATTGAACTCATGACCAACTGCTTGGAAGTAGAAAGCCTAAGCCGATAAGGCACAGCTTCACTAGGGTGTGAAGCTTACTAAACATCTGACCAGCATTACTGACAAAAGCATGATGTGGTTTTCAAAAACATTTATACGAGAATAATCCCAGCTACCTTTAATTTTATGACCAACTCAATAAACATAATACAAGTCAGGTGGATCGTGAAAGTAAGAAGTCGCACCCAATATGTGCGCACGTACATGAATCCAGGGTTCAATCCCTAAAAGTTATTTGCTTGGACAAGTTTGTGACGATGTGCAGAAAAAAGGAAGCAGACAGCAGAAAAATATCAAAACTTACCAGAGAGGCGAATATGTGCAGTACGACTGACCAAACTGCCTTGACCGGGAATAGAAGCTTTACACCGATAAGAACCTTCAAGCCATGATTTATGATTCAGCTTTAAGGCTTTCGATTTGCTGACTTTATCCACTGAAGAGGGATGCTTGAGCAGTAAACTACCGAAGTTAACATTTCTGAATTGAAAAAGATTGAACAAACCAATGTATGTGAAGTGTGATAACATGGTAAAAGTTTCAACAGTTTCATACCAGTGAAGTGCATATAATGAGGTCGGACCTCTGGAAGAGGTGGGTATATTAGTCGTTGTGAGCAAATAAGGTTCTGTTCAGTGTAACGCGGTTTTTTCTCTACAATAGTAAAGCAGGATTACCCGTTTACCTAAAAAGGTTGTGCAATAGACTAAGGATGACTTCTGAAAACATATTCGACACCATTTCTAATTTACCTAACAATTATTGAGTCAGTGTTTGAAGTAAAATAAACCATTTACTATTAATTCAAGGAGTACAGTGAAAAATGAATGAATATAAACTGACAACCAAATGCAATTTCATGAGCAGGTGATGACCTACACTTACTTTCTGACAGCTAGTCATACTAACTGGCTGCTCAAACCTCATTGAGTGAAGTGAGGTTCTGAACCATGACCCACTTGGTTCAAAGTCATCAACTCCCTTGACAAGTGAGCAGAAGTTGCAATGGGTACTGGAAAGCTGTACTAAATATCTTAAGGCTAATTCACTTAAGTATAACACTCAGCTTCTCTCCAGAGTCTAATAAATCAACATTAGCGAATACTGGACAGTAAACAGATTAGTAACAGTAATACTGAAGTATTATTGAACGGTTACTTGGCATAAAAAGATACTTAAATGAGGAAATTGTCCCAGCAAACAGAAAATCAAACCTACAACCAGTACCAAGAATTTATAGACTTTCCTATTATCCTTCACTGACCGTTAGCTGTTTGACTTTTGTTTCTAAATGAGTGATTTATTTCAGCAAGTTTGTTTCAAACTATTAGTGGATATATATATAGCAATTTACTCTTCTGATATTCACTTAAATGAGCCTTGTGAATAGTCACTATTCAATTACTGAGGATCAGTCACATGAAGTCATGATACAGAGTTCATTGTATGGCTAACTAGAAACGTAATTTAGTGTAGTTTAACGCGACACACGTTATGAGCAACACCCGTTGCATGAAGGCTCATGATACTATCCAGAGGCCCAGGACGAAAAAGAGGTCGGGTTTGAATCCAAAGTCCACTGCTTGAAAATCAAGTACCAAGTAATCAGCATTGGCTTAGTTAACAAGGACATCATTGTAGTGTGTACATACTCACCCCCAAGTTATCGTTCTAGCAAAAAGCTTCTCTACAACCAATAGAAAGTGTCGTCGAGAAGCGAAATTCCGTAACCACACCATCATGGTGTGAGGCACTTACAAAGCATTGCCAATTAAATCTATGTGGGGTGTTAGGGCAGTGATCAGTACTACATCCATGTATAACTGGTGGAATTAGATATTAAGGGATAATACACATTCCTTGAGTGCGGGTCATCTTGAGACCACTAACCATGGTCAAACACTTCAAGGCTTTACACGTTACAACCATAAAACCTGATTTTTGCGTACACAGCGATATCTATGGTACAAATCTGTACATTTCACATTACAAAATGCTTATTTTAATGCGACATTAATAGAATGTTGGGTTACACAGAGTGAAATGTCTCCGATTTCATAATTAAAAGAGCCAATAAACAAATAGCTTACACAAAAGAAGAATTTTCCACAACTGCTTCAGTCCTTTCAAATAAAGCTGTTGGTTCTCTTAAGTAATGAAGACACCCGTTTGAAAAGATTAAATCCACTGGTGCATGATGAATTGCTAACCAGGAATAAATTGCTTTGGGATGGTCAACTTTACAGTTGAGTTGGATGTGACCAAGCCAAGGTATGCAAGAGTCCATAGGTTCATATAAAAACTTGACATTTGATGAACTGATTGGTAAAACTAGTGACAAGAAATAGTTAAGGGGAATACAAATAATTAACATTGAAACTACTATGAGTTAAGCATAAACGAAAACAATAATGAGACAGGTAGTGCGTAAAATCCATAACCAGTTGCTGCTTACATAAAATAAAGTCAGATTTGTTTAGGATCAAACCATCAAATTGACAAAAATTCAAGTTTAACATATCAAACCGTTATACCAACTTCAAAAAGTACAGATGACTGCATACTTGTTTCGATGTATGTAGACTTTAAGTACAACTATTCAGTTACCCAAGCGTAAGTGGAGCGCAGTTTGAACTTGAAATACTTCTGTTAAAAATCAAATGCTGAAGACAGTAAGTCACATACAATAACTGAGAACACACAAGAGGATCTACATCTTGGTAGTATTCCAGTCAAAGCGTATTAGAATAACGAACGGGTAGCTACATAATGCAGGTGCTAATCAAGTTACTGTCTACCTCTGGTAAAAAATACGGCAGAACAGTTATTCGAATATCCCTTATTTAAATTATGCTGGGATTCGGACTTCCTTCGAACTTCAATCCCCACCCTATAAATAAATAAATATGCCAACAAAACTAATTTAAATGGTTCGATAACTAATCAGTGTTCTTGTCCCAACATGACCTCTGATATGACCTAAATTGTTCAACAAGAGAAGTAATACCTCTAGCTGATAAGTTAGTGAAATACTGTCTACACACTCAAAAAGCTTCCATGATCCGGTTAGCTGAAACGGAATCAAAAACAAGTCTGCTGAGCAGTAAAAGCATATGTAAAATAAGGCTATGGGATAGACAGATAGACAAAATCAACGTAGGACCTAGAATACAAGTCTATCGGTTTAAGTTGCCACACTTCAAAAAACAGATGGATAGAAAAAGACTAATATCAAAGTCAACAAAAGTGTATAGAAGAACGAATTTGAAAAAATGAAGGTTAGCGAAAATATTGACGCCTTAGAAGACATCAAAGAGTGTACAAACCTACGCCACAGTGACTAATTTTTGGTAGTCATCAAAAATCTCTAACCATCTCCATACACAGCCCAGGTTATGGTACCACCTGGTTGCCCAAAACATCGGTATGTGGAGCGAGGCTGGAACCAGTGACCCAAAGATAGGTAATTATCTCCCTAAACCACTGAGTCTCAGTTCCGCTCAGGCTGAGCTAGAGACTTTATGCACTGACGGCATATCTTCGTCTAGCCACTCTGAGGCCTATTCCAACATAATCCAACTTCCTTTAGCATAGCATATTGATGTAGATGGTGGCTCGACATGTGCAACATAAGCCAAACCTACCTCATTCACTGAAGGTTCACAACCTTATCGACTTGCCTTTCTTGACCAGTACCTTTCACTGACCTCGAATCTGCTAACATGGTGATTCTATCACCGTGAGCAATGCTACGAAGACGCGTATGGTGAAAAACCCGTGGTCTCTCCATTTGCACTTTTAATGGCTCTCTTAGACGCATAAAATGACATCAAGAATTGCAGCGCAATATACTAGCTGATTAATAGGTGGTCGGATATCTCACCGGGGCTAGAAATGAATGCCAATAGACCTTCAGTATCCAAGTTGGAAATAAGGTTATGACACAAACATACTCATAACCACTCAAAAATTATTTCAGATTTCTAATGAATGATAAAGTGATAAGAACTTGAGGACAAAAATAGCTAACGACCCAGCTAGTACAAACCAAATGAGGTAGATAAAATCTGTGTTTGTATGGCAGTTACCAGCTATTCGATAATAAATTGAGTGAGTAAATATCTCCAAGCACAGTGGATTGAAATTAAGAACTAAAAATCCGAATCCTTAGTTTCTTTTACTACCAGTCAAGTTTACTGTAAGACAATTTCTCAGTATCTGTCAGCATTTTACTAATCTATTCAAACTTAGTAAAAGGAATCTAGCTTTTTGTCTACATGTTGATTCATCAGCTTCAACACATGCAGAGAAATAATACAGCACCTCGCACACAAGTGCATCGGTTTAAGCTGCCACACTGCACAGTGTCATATAAAGAACAAGTGGATAAAGTTATACGAGACGAAAAAATTAAAGTTGGTGAAAGTGCTTAAAACTTAGATGCCAGAGTGAATAAGACCACGCTTTTGTGACGGATCTTCAGTCATTTCACCAACCATTGATTGCTGTAGTTTCGACGACACCAACCAGGCAGCCTTCACCTCCATACGTGACTCAACATCAATCAGAGACTTCGTGTGTTCATGCCATATCTTGGTCATATTCAAACAAACCAACTTCAGCTAATATTGTACGTCAAGGTAGATGGTGGTTGGGCATCCATAATACATTTTAAAGCCAATTCAGTCACTGAAGGTTCACAGCCTCATTCATACATTTCTTACCAAACCTCAAAACTGCTCATCATATGTGAGCAATGTTACTGAGACGCCTATCACTGAAGACATGCAACATCTTCCCAACTCCCACTTCCATTAGCCATGTCACACAGTAGTGTAACAGGACACGGCGAATTGTAGTACACTATCTTGTGCTTCAATAAGTATTCGGATATCTTAACGGCATAGGAATGACGCAAGCTGGTAAATGACAAACTGACCCTTTGCATACCAATTAAGATTTCGTTACTGCAATACCCCTTTTTGAATTGACTTCCACTTTTCTCATCCAGTACATGCTAGAATTCGTTCCCTGATATGTGACATACGTTAACCGGGATAAGATGTGTTTCCAGTCGTTTACAACTGCTTAGACTCTCGGGGATATTTCGATAAAAGACCAACAAACGTATCTCGTGCTTCTGACACTAGAATGGTGTGAATACATAGAAATACATCCTTCGACATATCAGCTTAGAATTGCGGAACAACAACCTAACCTCAATGATAAGGAGTAGATCGCCTAAATTCCTACTAGTAAATTGCTGAAAATAACCTCGCCTGGTTAACTAGTTCACTAGTTACTAGCCGGTCCTAAGCCCGGGTAAACAGGGAAGGTTGGGCATAGGGCTAGCAACCCTACACCGTAAAACAAATCTAACCGCTAAAGAAACTTCAAAGCACAAACAAACTATAAAACATAAAAACAAACTTATTCCCCGCTGGAATCGGAGAGGCGAAATGACGCCAGTTGGTGAAAGCCTTCGGGAAGCCAATTGGCTGATGTGTCTTCTCTCGATGAAAGCGAAAGTAAACGTGGGGACATGGAATGTCCGTACGATGTTTGAACCCAGCAAGGCAGCCCAGACTGCAAACGAGGTGAAGAGGTATCACATTGAAGTGCTTGGAATTTGCGAAAGCAGATGGGATGGGAGTGGACTCTACAAAATGTCAACTGGAGAATCAATAATCTACTCCGGTCACCAAGACGACAACCATGAGCACACCGAGTTTTGGAGTGGCTATCATGATGTCCCCTTCAACAGCATCGAAGGCTCTCATGCAGTGGGAACCAATCTCCTCCAGGATCATGACAGCAAGATTCAACTCAAAAGGAAGGAAGGTCACAATCATACAATGCTACACTATGCACCTACAAATAATGCAGAGCAAGAGAAAAAGGAGGAATTCTACGGACAACTTCAATCAACACTGGACAAGACACCACCTCAGTTGGCGATATCAAAATTCCAATGTGTGGGGCGACATGAATGCCAAACTGGGAGGGGACAACACAGGAAGAGAACTCACCATGGGTCGAGAAGCGCTAGGTGAAATGAACCAGAATGGAGAATTGTTTGCAGAATTCTGCGCATTCAACGAAATGGTGATTGGAGGCAGTGTGTTCAAGCACAAGGATATCCACAAAGCCACATGGATTTCACCAGATGGACACACTAAAAATCAAATCGACTTTATCTCAATCTCAAGAAAATGGAGACGCAGTCTACTTGACACAAGGTGAAGAAGAGGAGCAGATGTAGGTTCAGACCACTATCTAGTGCAAGCAACCTTCCAAATCAAGTTAAAAGCCTTCAAGGAAGCTGGTGATAGACCTCAATTCAAGTACAACACTCTGAAACTGAAGGATGAAACTACAAAGGAGATCTTCACGGCAGCCATCAACACAAAATGGGAGATATCGAGGAACATCCCTGAAGAAACCTGTGTGGAAGAACACTGGAAGTCTTTGAAAGAGATGTGGAAAGAAACCTGCACAGCCGTATTAGGAAGGAAGAAGAAGGAAGATAAGGAATGGATCTCGATGGATACCTGGAAGCTGATAGAGGAGAGGAGGATGGTGAAGCAGAAGATAAACCAGTGCAAGGATGCTCAACGACAAGAGGAACTGAGCACAATGTATAAAACACTGGATAAAGAAGTGAAGAAGAGTGCACGCAAAGACAAAAGACACTTTAAGACACATTGATAAGTGAAGCAGAACAGGCTGCCGGCTGGTAGGAGAGACCAGGCAACATTGTATAAATAACCAGGTTACTATCTGAGAAGAGATCAACGCAGACGAAACCAGTAAAAGATGATGGGGGAAATTTAATTACGAAAGAAGAGAAACAAAGGAAACAATGGGCCGACCACTTCAAGAAGCTCTTGAATCGACCACCACCACCATCTGCACTTCGTCCAGAAATACCACCTACAGCCCAGCCACAGAACTACAGGTTAACATAAATCCTCCAACAAAAATGGAAGTCCTGAACGCCATAAAGCTACTGAAATGTGGGAAAGCAGCAGGACCAGATGGGATACCACCAGAAGCACTGAGAACAGACCCAGAGACAACAGCAGACATGCTCACACCACACCACTATTGCAGAAGGTGTGGAAGGAAGAGAAGGTACCTGCCCATTGACTGGAAGAAGGGTTACCTTGTCAAACTGCCAAAGAAAGGAGACCTCAGTGTTTGCAAGAACTGGTGCGGAATCACTCTCCTGTCCACCCCAAGGAAAATATTAAGCCGTATCATCCTGGAAAGGTTAAAGGATGCACTGGATTCAAAACTACGACCGGAACAGGCTGTCTGGATTCAGGAAG